GCAGTCCGCTGCCCGCGCCGCCCAGACCTTTCCCCTACCGCCGCTCGCCCACGGACTCCGACGTGTCCCTTGACTCCGAGGATTCCGGGGCAAAGTCCCCCGGCATCCTCGGCTACAACATCTGCCCCCGCGGGTGGAATGGCAGCCTGAGGCTCAAGCGTGGTAGCCTCCCCGCCGAGGCCTCCTGCACCACCTAATGCCTCCCGCCCCACCCCAACCCCAACCCCACCCCGGGAGGACCGAGCCGGAAGAGGAGTCATAAGGCTTGAGAGATCCCAGCACCACGTCCCCAAGGGGTCTGGCCTCTGGACAGCCCTAGAGATAAGGGGTCAAGGAGGAGAGCCCTGGGCTTGGGGAGGAGCAGTGATCCAAGCTTGGGTTCTAGCCCTATCATGCAGTCGTGTGAACCTGGGCAAGACCCTTCTGTCTGACCTTCAGATTTCCCATCTGTTTAATGGGGCTTTAGAACCAAAACAATCTCCAAAGGTCTAAATGCCCCCTCCCATCAACACAAACACACTCTAGTTCCTTGGAAGAGGCGGGGCATTGTGTATATGGACCCCCCCGGACTTGCTGCATTCGAGGCTTCCATACTCCTCCCTATCTGGCTCTGCTCTCTGGAGTCTGGCAAATGAGGGGTGTACTCAGAAGATCGTAAGTCTAAGTTCTCTTGTCCAGCCCTGGCTTGACCATCCGCCTGCCTGGCACCAAGTCCTAGGCAGAAGCAGCTGTTTTCCATCTCTTCCCAGACATGCTCTATTTTTACCACGGTGACCTTTAGCGAGGTCTCACAGGCCAGCTCAAGGTGCCCCCGCTGGCTCCTCTGGAGAGAAGAGGCAGGAAAATTCCTCCTCCCAGGTCCCTTTCATGCTTTTCTCCACTCCAGCTCAGACTGCCCAGGGCATCTTAGCAGCAGCCAGAAGAGCGCTATAAGGCAATGATTTACCCCAGGCCCAGGACTTGGGCTCCAGAAATGCTATAGGTGCCTCCAACCCTTCTGGGCACTTTCGTGGCAGCCCTTTCAAAGCTGAGCCCTTTCAGAGTTGATATGGAGCTATTTGCTATTCTATGGCTTTACCTGAAGGCCCTGAGTTTGAGGTTGCCCATTTGGAAGGAAGGAATCAAAGAGTTCCTTGTCAGGGGAAGCATGCAAGCCATGGCCAGGATGCACAGAGGAGATTCTAGTAGGGAATGAATTGGGTCAGATGTCCTCTGAGGGCCATTCCAGTCTTGAAATGCATTTCATGGTATTAGGAAAGGAGGGAGAGTAGTGGTGGAAGATTGGCTGAGCAGAATTCAGAGGCAGATGAGCTTGGGTAGGTGAGTGAAGGGTAGACCAGAGTCAGCCTGTGTTTCTGGTTCCTTAGGAAGTATCTACTCTTCACTTCCAGGCCCTGGCATCCATATTATGCCCAGAGGAGTGGGCACTGATCTGCCTATCTCTTTCCAAGTGCACCCTGACCTAGCTAGTGCCTGGTGCCCAGTGACCTTGGAGAGCCCTGGCCTGTCTCTTAAACCTTGATGGCTCTGATTCCAATCCCCAGGAGGGACAGGAGAAGGAATGTGGCTAAGCTCTATAGTGTCCAGAGTTGGCTGGTGGTGCCCTCCAGAGGTTCAGAATATTTGCTTCAGAATACCAGTGGGGTTGGGGATGGGGGTTGGGAAGGGTTGGAATTGGCTGAGGGTCAAAGGTATATAGGTGAAAGGATACCAGAATGTTGCTAAAGATGAGAGACAGAGTGTGATTTGGGGTTAGGGGTAGACTTACCTACCCATCAGGGCATTGTTAGACCTGGACCCTTGAGTGAGGCTGGGGAAAGCTGGGGTCAGGACGGCAGTCAGGGTGCAGGTAGGGTGCTTTGGAGTAAAGAAGTGATACCAGAGGGTTTGTTCCTAGGCCCTCAGGATTGAGAACATAGGCCCTGTTGGTGGGAAGATGAGAGGGTGCTCTTGCTTGGTCAATGATGAGTGACCACATTTACCAAAGTCTCCGCCTGCTTCAGGGTCACTTGCAGCATAGAAGACTGGGGCTAAGGCCTCTTTCAGAGAAAAACACTATTAGGCCACTGGCTGAGACAGTGGCATAGAATATCTACTTCTACCTGCATTTCCACAAAGAGCCAGCAGGACGCAGCCTCGAGAAGCTGCAGTTCTGTCTGGCTGTTCCCTCCAATCACTGCCTTCTCCCCCAATCCTCTCCTCCAGCCTACTAGAGGTTGCCTGTGTCCTGTTTCTTGCCTCCTGTAGAATTCAGTTCTGGCCCTAAATAAATACTTCCTGCATCCTTCTGCCTCCTGGGTCATTTTCAGCTGTGTCCAACGCCCTTCTCTCCAACCATGGAACAGTCCATGGGACTCCGGGTAGATGAGCATGTTTGACCCACATGGGATTGGAGCTTGGGAAGCAGGAGAAATGGGGAACGACAGAAAAACTACGGGCCATAGCAGTCATTGGGTTGAAGTACTTACTAGGTGACCCTGCATTGGCCACTCCTCCAGGCCTCAGCTTCCCTATCTGTGTAATGAGTGAGCTGGGCTAGGTGATGTCTCAGGGTGATATTGCCCAGGTCCTGACCACAGGGCCTGAAGTGGGCAGGGCCAAGCTGGGTCAGGGCCCAATGCTCTGGGGCTGTTTCCTAATGGTAGGTCAGAAAGAGGCAGAAGGAGGAAGTCACGTCCGAGTCCAGGCAACCCTAGTGAGCTCAGGACTCA